ACTACTGAAGCCCACGCACCTAGAGCCCAAGCTCCACGACAAGAGAAGCCACCGTGATGAGAAGCCCGCACCCCACAATGAAGCCCCAACGCAGCCAAAAAAAAAAAAAAAAAAGAAAAGAAAAAGAACTCCTAGGATGGCTAAAATTCCTGCCCAGTCTCAGTTTCTGAAGAGCCCTGTGGGGGAAATGAACCCTCCTAGGACTGGCTTCTGGCTGTTTTCCTGCCAGCCCACACCCTGCCTTCTGCCGGGTCCAGCTTTGGGGAAGCTACTCCTTGCCTGGCAGAATTTTCTGACAAGCCATCTAACAATACTACTAAAACAAAAAAAAGCAGCAATAAGAATTATAAACACTATGTGTAGAATCAGACAAGGCATTCTGCCCACATCCTCATCCCTGGTCCTCCCAACATTCTTAGGTCTCTGGTGAGGCCCGCGGCCGCACGGCTACGTGGCTGAGGCCTGCCGGCGAGTGGGGTCGCACGGTTCAGGCGGAAACTTCACCTCGAGGTGCCTCAGTTTCCCTACCTACAAGGTGCGGATAAGCCGCTCATAACCGTGTACACCCAGTGGCAGTACTGGGCGGATTAAAAGCACTGACGATTTCTACAGAGAGAGCACAACCAGGCACAGTTACACCCTGAAGATATTAGCTATTATCTTTAAGCCTTTCACAGGGGACAAGAAGGTGCTATTTCTCTGCCAGCGTCTTCTTTCTCTCGTTCTGCACAGGATTAATGCCTAATTATTCGTAATATCCAGGATTCTTTGAGTTGTAACAGAAAGTCCAATCGCTCTACTTAAAAAGGCAGGATTTCAGGCCTGGCTTATGCGGTTTGGACAGCGGGGACAGGTCAAAAGATCCTATCAGGACTCAACCGGCCTTTTTCCACAGACTGGTGGGGTAAGAAGGGCTCCCTGGAACAGGCCCTGGACTGGGGTGGGCAAGAGAGCCCCCGGGGCACAAACGCCTCCTCCAGCTTCCAGCCCCAGTGGGGCCTGTCCTGCCTGCCCCATACCTGGCCCTGCTTTGGAGGTTCTAGGCTTTAGATCTTTAGGTCTTGATTTCAGAGAGAGGAGAGAGAGAGAGAGAGAGGGAGAGAGGGAGGGACGGAGGGAGGGAGGGAGGGAGAGGGGAGGGAGGGAGAGGGGAGGGAGGGAGAGAGAGAGAGAGAGAGAGGAGAGAGAGAGAGAAAAAGAGAGAGAGAGAGAGAGAGAGAGAGAGAGAGATCCCTTCCTTCCTGAGAGTTCCAGGAAAAAGTTCCAGAAAGACCCTTGATTGGCCTGGCTAGGTCATGTGCCCTTGCGGAGCCAATCACTGTAGCCAGAGGTCTGGGGTGCTCTGATTGGCCAGGTCTGGGTCACGTGCCGGTTAGAGATGGGGAATCCCCAAGCCAACCACCGGGAGGAGGGTGTTGTGGATGGGTAGACACTTGGGAGACGCTGGGCTGACAAAACCAAAGGTCCCCCTTATAGGGCATATTTCATGTTGTCTTGGTCAGACCTCACCTGTGCCAGGAACCTTCCCCCCACTAGGACTGGCTTCTGCTCTGTGCACCCACAGCAGCCTGTGTTCCCTTTATTTCTCACTCTGTGGTTAATGAGTGCCTACTATGCATCAGGCACAGAGAAGGGGGCCCAGGAGGAACCCCAACGACTACAGGTTGGAAGGAGAGGGTGGAAGCTGCACAGGGGACTGACTGAGGGGGAGCGGCCTGAGAAGTAGGAGGGGAACCAAGGTGCAGACAAGAGAGGGAATTTCCAGAGGGAGGAGTGGCGGACTCAGGTGCTGCTGAGAAGGGCAGTGTTCCAGGAAGTGACCGCTGGATCCGGCAGCCGGGAGCTTGTGGGTGACCTTAGCAATAGGTAGGAGTAGGCACACAGCCCTGCTGGGGTGGAGTGAGGAGAGACTGGGAAGGGAGGGAGTGGGGAAGGCAGGTATGGACACATCTTTGGAGTTTTCTGTCTTCTGTTGTGGGAGTAGAGAAATGGGGAGGAGGCGGAAAGGGGCTTGGGAGCAAGGGAGAGTTATTCCCCTTGTTTTGGGAAAATGCTAGCCAAGGGGAAAGAGAGAGAGAGGCTGATGGTACAGGAGAGTAGCAAGGGGACTGCAGCCGGAGGTGGGTGCCTGAGATCAAGATTGGGGTGGGAGAGACGGAGGGGGAGGGGGGTGCCAGGCAGGCAGATGTGGCAGCTTGGGGACTGGAAGATGAGGGCCCATCTGATGGACTCAGTTTTTCCCACTGAAGAATGCGGTGAGGTCACTGGCTGGGAGTGAGGGCAGAAGGGGCTGTGGGAAGTGCGAGGAGAGGAGAGAAGGTGTGAACTCTTAGACTCAGAGGGTGGGAGAGGGTGTCACCGAAAAACATGGTGGGGCTGCTGACTCGACGGAGTGCCAGTTTGAAGTTCTGAGGTCACAAATTCCCAATCAGAAGGGGTGTGTGGGGGCACCTTCCCCCACCCCAAACAATAGGCAGGGGCAGGAAAGGGGGTTTCCTTCAGGTTGAGGGGTTCCCTATGGTGGAAGAAGAGGGGCTGGAGAGATGGAATCTGTAAAAACTCCACCAGGCCAGGAGGTAGTTACTATTATCTGTGTTTTACAGACAAGGAAGCTGACAGGGTCAAGGCCAGTATCTGTGTGGCTTTGGCGTCAAAATAGAACGGGTCCTGGCACATGTTAGGTGTTAATATTTGTTGAAAAAAGTGAATGGCTGGAAGGTCCAGTGAGGTGCCCATTGTTATAACCCAGCCAGGAAGTAGCTCCAGCCTTGGGGTTTGGTAGGTGGTGCTGGTGACCCCATGTACTGTGCCACTCCTGCTGCCCTAATAAATGACTCAATATCACCTTTGTGCCCTTGTAGGCGAATCTATCTAGAGTCTTGTGGTATAACTTCATAGACACTAAGCGAGCAGGGCAGAGGGCTCTTAACCTCATTCCTCACACAGTGCTCACCTCTAGATGAGTCACAGCCCTCGGCCAGGTGGTTCAGCCCGGGGAATGCCGCCTTTGGTTCCTAACCCTTGGCTTTGCTGTCTGCATCCTACCCAGGCCAGCTGCTGGGGAGTATCCCGGGGCACACACCTGCGCTACCTGGGCTCTCCTAGGAGATGAGTGTCCTTTTAAGGGGAATCCAGGAGCTGCGACCCTGAACTTGGCGGGGGCAGTTCTCCTCTATGGGGAGGGCTCCCAGCGCTTTTTCTTACAGTTCATTCAGGCAGAATTGAACATGGTCACTTCACTGAAGTAATAATGATGGCTCATGCTGCAAAAAACGTGGAGAACATCCTGCTTATTTATTCAGGCTTTAAAACCATAAAACTTCAGATTTCTCCCTGTAGCTATTTATAACCAGAGCTGGTCTAAACTGTCCCCATATTAAGCTCAGGTTTGAAGTAAGTTAAAAGAAAAATAGCCATCCGCTGCATTAAAAAAATACATATATATTTTTTTCATTTATAGACCTTCTCTCTCCTCCTGATTATTCCTGATTATGTACGAAGAGCGTGTTGTTTGGGGGGCTCGGTATGATTACATTTTATAATAAAGGATACAAGTCAGGAACAGCTAAATGAAGAGCTACATAGGGAGAGGTCCGGGAGGGTCCACAGAGACTAGAATCGGGGCACATCACCCCCCCCCCCCCCCCCCCCCCAGCTATAAAAGCAGCCCCGCGTCGGCCGGTGGTCACTCTCTGGGGCAAGGGGTGGAGTGGGGGGAGGCAGGGCAGGCAGCAGATCCGGAAAAGTGGCTCTTGCCTCGGAGGAAGTTGACCCTCCTCCCCTACCAAAGGCTTGGGATGAAAATAGCTTCTTCCTCTTTACCTTTCCCGGACCCCAGCCCATTTCTGTAAGTCCCCCACCCCATTTTTAAGTGTTCCCCTCCCCCTGTGACAATTCGGCTCCTTCACAGCTCTCCAAACGGCCATCCGGGAGGGCAGGGACCCCGCGCCCCGACCCTGCTACCGGGCAGGGGCAGAGGACCCTCTCCTCCGGCCTCGCAGGCGCGGCGCGCCCCGAAACTCGGGCAATCGCGGCGACTTCCAACCTCCCCCCACCAAATTAGCAGAAAGCTCCACTAAATCCGCTGAGCTCCTACACTGCTTTCTTTTACTCCGGGGGTGACTGTCACCTGGGAAGCCTGTCCCCTGCACCAGGGTTCCCCCGGCGCTGAGTAACCCCCAAATCCCTTGGGAAAGGTGGGGGCGCAATTAGTTTCTTCCAATTAGTTTCCCCTCTTTGTATAGAACCCATTCAAACTGTGAGATGTAATCCTCCGCGCGAGGGGGAAAGTAGTCCCAACCTTGCATTCAATTTCTGTTCTCGTGTCGCGTATATTTTACTTTTTGAAACCGATGGGATCCTCAGTGGAGCCCTTCGGGGAACGTGGGGGCAGAGGCCGCGGGGGGCGCGCGCAGGTGAAGGGGGGGACCCGCAGAAAGAGGGGGCGGGGAGGACAGCTAACTCCTCGCTATTGCCTAGAGAGATGGATCATGGGGCGTAGAGAGATTGCAAACCTCAAACCACATACAGCGGGTGATACGCGTCAACCGAACCTGACCAACGGAAGCCCGGAGCCTCCCCCTCCCCGCTCTCCCGCCCCGGCCCCTTGGACAGACTGGTACGCGGAGCCAATCTGGCTGCCGCTCGCCGTCCAAATCCCACAAGAGCCAATGGGAGCACGCCGGGGGCGGAGCCACCCCGCGCCGGGTTGGGCTGCGCGCGGCTTCCCCCGCTCGCCCAGGCCCCGCCCCCCTCCCCTCCCGCTCGCTGCTCTTGGAGTAGTTAGTGCCAGTGAAGTGCGGGCGGCGATGAGAGCGAAAGTTGCGCTCGGCTCGGCGCTGGGGGCTTGAAGCGGCTTCGCTCTCCGCCCGCTAGGGCCGCCCCAGCCCCAACTCGCGCCCGCG